TCAGACCATTACAGCCCTGCAGGTTCAATGGACACAAAACACACAAGTTATTCACAAAATGACCCGTTTGTTCGTCTCCCCGACAGAAAAGAAGCCGACTTCCCGTCCGATCCTTTCAGGTTAAGTCGTAACTGATTCGTTTGTTTGTCTTCGTCCAGCTTTCAAACTCAGTGGACCGTTACATCAACCACTTCCAGGTTGTCGATAACCTGAGTGACCGAGGCTCTCTGATCATCCACCTGTTCAAGGTAAAACATCACGTGCTGACGTTTTCCCCCAATGAGAACAAAGCATCTACTATCTATTCCCAACCAGCAGGTACCTCGATAGGACCCGCCCCTTTCTACTTCCTGTGTCGCTGTGCTAAATTGTCCTCCCCGTTGTCCCCCAGGTGTCTCACAAAGAGCCAGAGGTCCTGATCTTCAGGCTGCAGCAGCGCTTCAGAGTGGGCCTCCTGCAGCCGTCCTCGGTCACCGTGTACGAGTATTACAACCCAGGTAGGACCGACCCCCTCCCACGTCCAGGACGCAGCCCAAACCATCGGGGGGAACCCACCTGAGGCCAGGTGAAAGGTGGTGACAGGTGTGCTCCTCCTCCTCTCAGATCACCGCTGCAGTCACACCTACACCCCCAGGGAGGACCGAGAGGAGCTCTCTCAGATCTGCAGGAACGACGCCTGCCGCTGCGCGCAGGGTAGAAGCTCACAGTCTGCGGCGCTGCGTCAGTGGACGTGTCTCCACTCGTAGTTCTTCTCAATGGCTGCTGATTCTTCCCTCTGCTCGCCATCTGCAGGCGACTGCTGCGTCTCCAGGAGCGACAGTGAGAACGTGCCCCACCAAGAAAGAGAGACGTTTGCCTGCAAGACTTTGCACCACGGTACCAAACACACACACACACACACACAACGCTGAGGTTTGAGTGTAAATGTTCAATATGAGTCGATAGTGTCACTTTCTGGAATGCATCTGTACGGCTGTGTATCTGTTTTAGGTTTTTTCTTAACATGAGGATAAAGAAACGTTCCATTAGACTTAGTTAATAATTCTGAAGTTTCCTCAGAACTGTGTCTTTAAACTAATATCACAATCCCTTCATTCAATAGAATATGCATGTCCATGTATTTGCATCAAACATTCATATATGATTAAACATGACAACGGATTCTCACCTTTGGTATAAATTAAGATACTTATTAATTAAAATACTAATATCTGAGTTTGAGTAATGAGGATGAATCTAGCTCATGTCTAAGGAATCTCAACAGGCATTATAACATTTTAAAATGGATCTATTTGAGTTAAAGGAGGAAAGCTAGACTGTAGAAATACTCAAAAGAGGAAATTCTGCATTTGAACTGGAAGTGAAAACAATATGTGAAGTTCACAACGGGACCAGTAAAGGTTGATATTTACCATAACAATATAACCAACGGATGTATTTGTTAATTATTAGGGCCATTAACGCGTTAATCTATGCGATTAATGTGACTGAGATTAATGCGATAAATACCTTAATGCAGTTAATGCATCTTTCTTTACTTCTGGTCTTCCAGTAAAAAATAAGCTACTAAACAACCTCCTGAAGGGGGTCAAACAGACCACTTTATGCATCGCTAGGCTAAGCTAGATGCTAAGCTAAACTAGCTGCTAAGCTACTTCCATCTCAACATCGACCCTGCAGACGACCACCACCGTGTCTAAAAGAACAAAAAACTTAAACTGCGATTAATTAGTCTATTTTTAATCTATTGACAGACCTATTAATTACATTTTGTAGGTCATTAGCTGAACAAATTAAGACTCATTCTCTCATCACGTGATTCATTTGACCTCCAGCGGTTTATTTGTGCTTCAGTTTTCAAGGTGAAGGTGCTGAACGTCAGCCAGAGTTACTACGACAAATACGAGATGGAGATCACACAAGTCATCAAACTGGGTGAGTCAATGTCTGTGTGTCTTTGAGGAGCATCAGCTCTTCTTCTGTTACATAAAGCATCGCTCATTGTTATTTAATGAATTGTTTATTACCAGGAGACTTTTAAGTAAAAGACCTCGTAATGATGAACAAAGAACTTTTTAGGATGTTTTTAAAACACCAGACTCACACTTATATTTATAGCTCTTTTATTTGGTGGATATAAGAAGCTGTGTGTATCTTGTGAATGTGAAGGCATAGAGGCAGGAGTTGAAGTGGGCCAGAGGAGGCTTTTCATGTCTCATGGAGGCTGCAGAGACGGACTGGTCCTGAACCAGGGCTCCCAGTACCTCATCATGGGGCCCACAGAGGACCAGTGGAACGCTGACGCTGACACCGGCAGGTAGGACGAGGAATGACGTGGACGTCCAGGCCTTTATTTCTACTCTACGTGCATATTTCAGGAGCCTCGTCTCCCTCCAAAGGACGTCCTCGCCATAAAAGTCATGATGGCGGCTCGATTTAGGACTCATGAGAGTAAAAAACTGTTCCTGGAACACTTGTTTGTACCCGAGTGGTTGAATCAGTGTCAACGGGTCCTGTGGGGGTCTGAGATGTTGGTGGGGACATATTGTGGAATCCCACCTTCAGACAGGGAGCTTCTGTCAGGCGGATAGAAGCTAAATAAAAAAGCCCATTTGCTCTCACGGACTGAATGTGAAGGTGGATTTACTTGTCGCTGAAGTGGCAGCCATGTTTGTTTGTTACGGACGTCTTTCTCACAGAAGCGTTAAAGCCGACCTACAGAGTTTAACCTCCTGTCTCTGTCCACCAGGTCCGTCTACGTGTTGGGGAAGGACACCTGGGTGGAGCGCTGGCCGTCGCCCACAGAGTGCTCCAGCACTGACGGCCTGTCAGATAAATGCCGGAGCCTGAAGGATGCGGCGACCGAGCTGTCCGTCAACGGCTGCCGGCTGTAGAGCCGCTTTAGTTCTTTCTCTTTGCAGAAGGATTCAATGCAAATACAGTCAAAGTGTCCAAAAGCCTTTCAGAGACACGTTACGTCCTTGTTACCTGTGAAGGTCAAACCAGCAGCTGCTGAAACAACCATTCATCCATTTAGACGACCAGGAAACAGCTAAAAGAGAAAATAAATGAATAAACACCTCAATGTGTCTATTGGATGTTTTCTTTCCACCTTCTGAAGGTTTGGCCTCTTTACCAGTGCATGAAAACAACGATCTGCCTGACGCCTCTCTGCTAAAGTTATTATAACTAATAAATATTAACCAGTAATAAACTCAAACCAGTTTGAAGGGCAGAAAGTAAAAAACAAACAAACAAACCCGTATTGTGTAAAAACCCCAAACTGTGAAACATTCTGATGATGATATATTTATAATATTATTTATTTAAGAAGCTAATTCAGAACGTTTTAGTTTTCAGGAGCTTTTAATCAAATGATAAAAACAACAAACAATATCAGTGACAGTTGTTATTTCTTCTGACTTACTTTGAACATGACACTTCATGTCATATTATACATGTTTTTATTATTAACGCTGAGTTAATGTATTATTGTGTAACATTGTCTCATCTGACCTTTAATGTTGAAGGTGAAACATAAATCTTACTCGACCATTTGAAAATGTTCTGTGGATCTTTTGAATATGAAAAAGTCTGAGCCCATTTGATAAAAAGTGGGAATAATTATTGTCATAAGCATGAAAACACATTTTCTCATCAACGTCTACGGGACCAGAGGAATCAAACTTACATAGAAAAAAATGTTGTAGATCACAGCTCTTTGCATTGAAACATTTGCTATTCTTTACAGATACATGAAGCTCATATTGGTTTAAAAAATATCCTGTAGCCTGTTTAAAATACACATTTTGCTAAAAACCAAATATAAGAAGAATCATCCACAGCTCCTTCACACCTCCGTCAGTGAAAGAACCGTAAACTCACTAAATGAATCATTAACACGTTTAAACAGCAATAAAACAGTGATGATAAAAGCAGAGACGGATCCATATTCAGTAAAGATTGTCACTCGCTGCCTCCATCAAAGTGGATACATGTGGACGGCGCCATCTCCATTTTCTCCTCTTCCTTCACTTCCTCCTCTTCCTTCACTTCCTTCACTTCCTTCTCTTCCTTCACTTCCTTCACTTCCTTCACTTCCTTCACTTCCTCCACTTCCTTCACTTCCTTCACTTCCTTCTCTTCCTTCACTTCCTCCTCGTCCTTCACTTCCTTCACTTCCTTCTCTTCCTTCACTTCCTTCACTTCCTTCTCTTCCTTCAGTTCCTTCACTTCCTTCTCTTCCTTCACTTCCTCCCTCCTCTTCCTTCACTTCCTCCTCTTCCTCCTCTTCCTTCACTTCCTTCACTTCCTCCTCTTCCTTCACTTCCTTCTCTTCCTTCACTTCCTTCACTTCCTTCTCTTCCTTCTCTTCCTTCACTTCCTTCACTTCCTTCTCTTCCTTCACTTCCTTCCTCCTCTTCCTTCACGTCCTCCTCTTCCTCCTGGTGTCCAGCGTTGGTCATCAGGATCTGCATCAAAGAACAAGAAGTACTTATTGGATAGTATTGTTGGACTGAAGTACAAAGGACAGATAGTAGAATATCTGCAGGGCTTCTTCTCTAATGACTCCTTTGGGCCCTACAGGTTCTCATGGAGGTCTCATGTGTTTAATGGTTGTAATTAAGGTCATTGAGGTTAATGAAGTTCCATCTACAAACTGTCATCGTGTGTCTGTGGATACTGTGCACGCTGTGTACAAGAAGGACACGCACACAGATTCATTAAGAACATTAAGTACAACCAGAGTGTACGTGGATATAGTTTGACCTTTTGGAGACTAACAGGATTAATATTTAAGTTATTCATGATATGATGAACGTTCTAACAGGCCTCCACACTGAGCTCTTCCTCCTCACCTGACTGTCGTTCTCTGGTCTTTGTTCAGGCCGTTCTGGGGACATTCTTCTCCACCTGCACAGAAGAATGAATGAAAAAACAAATCAATGATCAAATCAAGTGATTCAACGACTGTGTGAATGTAAGATCCACATCTGCATTTTATCACAGTGAAGCTGAACCGCTCACCTGATGTAGAGACGGAGGACAGCGAGGATGATGATGATGATGATCAGCAGGAGAACAGCAGATATGGATGCAAAAACAGTTGTTGTTGTTGACCATTTTCCTACACGGGAAAGAAAGGAAACAACAACAAATATAAACTATTAAATATGGAGGGTGGAGGATGAATTAGTGACAAAAATAAGATGTTTAACTCAGTGAAACAGAACATCCGGCCATCTTGGGTCGGTCAGCTGGCTCACCCATAACATTGTGTTGGTAGTAAAACATGTACTTATATGAATAATTATTATATATATAATACAAACATGATGTTACGTTCTAACAAATAGAATAATGTTCTAAAATAGGTACAAGATGCATGTTGAAATCCGCTCCCTGCACACAGATGTAGTTATGACACTGCGTACTTATGAATAATTGTAACCATGGGTTTTCATACGGAAATGATATTAAACAGAACATTATTCATACGTGTGCAGTGTCATAACTACATCTCTGATGTTTATAACAAACCAAAGACATGTAGCCTTTATATATAATATCTATGGCTGCATAGACGTCCTCTTTATCCCCAAGTTAGCGACAGAAGAGTCACAAAGCGACAACCAAGCAGCTCAGGAAGAGAATCCAGCGCTGAAGAAAAGCTCATGTCCAATGTGAGACTTGTATGTTAATGACATGTGGTGCAATTAAGAACTCACTCTCTTGAGCTCTACATGTTGAAAGCAAGTATTCGTTTGTGTTTGTGCGTGTGAACGTGATTGTGTGGTGATGTAAACGGTCACAACAAGCAGCAGGAGAGCAACTTGTAAACCTCGAGGTGTCCTGAATGCTCCAAACATCACGCCGTTGTTTATTTAGGCTGCTCACATGTAACATTCATCTTTTTATTAACAGGACAAAGAAAAGGACTTTTCCCAACAGGGACCTCAGAAAACGTATAGCATGCCGCACCATGACATTGTGACTGCATACAAAGGTCACACATGACTATATGAACATCTATTTATTGAACTTTAACAAAAGTGCAAAGTGCAAATGTAAAACAAATCTCTCTTCTGGCATTTAGTCCAGCGCTTCTTTAATGTGTCTGGTCCATTTATTAAAGCAATGATGATAACAAAATTCTAAATAATCAATTCTTTTATACGGCCACATATTAAAAGAAGAGATGCAGATGTCATGTGCTGTAAACAAAGCAACTAGTGGAGGCGGCAAGGTGCTCAGTGTTGCCACATTGGAAATGGTCAAGTATCGTACCAAAGGCTCAAAATGGTCGTATGTGGAGGATAATTATCGTGTATCTGGCAACATGGCGATCGGTCGACCAATGACTGTTCTCTCTACAGTCAGAGCTCGCGCAGGAAGGTGGAGCGTAAGGGAGACACCATTTACACCACTTGTGAGGGCGGAATAACTAGTTTGTGAAAGACTCAGAAACACAAATATCCGACGAAGCAAAATCCCGGACGCATTATTTAGGTCTCAGAAAGAGGACGTCTGGTCACCCTGACTGTGAGTCACTTCTTTAGCTGGATTGTTGATATAATGTGTGAGTGAACAGAAGAATGAGTGTGATTTACCTGAAGAAGGAATCAGACGTAAGGTGGAGTTACTACGTCCCATCTCGTTCTGGGCTTCACAGTAATAATTCCCACTGTGTTCAGCTGTGAAGTCAGTGATGGTGAAGATCTGTCCTGATGCTCGTGGGGAGTCTTCATGCTCCTTGTACCAGGTGTAGTTAGCTGCTGGGTTAGCATCAGCGCTACAGGTCAGATTCACTGAATCGCCCTCCAGCATCTCAGCAGAGGGACTCGCTGACACAGAGAGACGCTGTGGACCATCTGGAGGAGACGTGAATAAACATACTAAGAGGTTAGAAGATGTTAGCGTAGATAGTTGATCATTTGAATGAATACTTGTGTGTCTTTCTCTCAGACTATCTCTAGTATTCATCACAGCAGCTGTCACAGGTGAGACTCCTGCTGGTGTAAAGTGACAATAAGCAGCCTTTAATCCTTTGTAATGTTCATATCTCCACACATTCTTCTCTTTAGATGCTGCTTGTGTCCTTAGCTGAGTCTGTCCTCTCACTTCTAGTTGTTGTAGGAGTTATTGATTGTTTCCTCCACCAGCTGACACGTCACTTCTACTTATGTTCTGGAATAATTCACTTGAGTCTTTATGAAAATCACATTATTCTGTCTGCTGATGGTTTATATTTGTGTTTCTATTAATAAGAGAATGACATAAATAAAGATCTGTGTCTCCTTTAACATTTAGACTCCAGTGTGTTTACAGCTGTGATTAGAATCATATTGTTGTGTCAGTGTGTGAGTGACTCTTCTACACGTAGACTGCAGGGGCCGGGGATTGAACCAGCAACCCTCTGGTCAGTGGACCACGGCTCCACCTCCTGAGGAACGTTGTGCTTCATCTTTTTGATGCCTCTAGTTTACATGCAGCGGTCTGGTGCCTCCATGTGAGATGTTGGTGAAGCTCCACAGGCCGACACAGTGGAGTGAACTTACACACTGCAGGACCACCGTGACCATGAGATCCAATTAAATAACAGGAATATCTGTCTGTAGAACCAGAGGAGACTGGAAGAGAAGATCCTGTCTTGATGTATTTTTCATTCTTGTACCAGACGTATTCAGGACGACCAGACAGAACACAGCTGCTGTGACACGTCAGCTCCAACCAGGTAGAATCTGATCTTCTCACCTGCACCTGGAGACCTGAATCTGTGAATATTATTTATTAAAGTGTCAACATTCACAGAAGACATTTATACTCTAGTTTTCTAGATGTTGAACATTTGTAGATGATTAATATGTGAATTAAAATGTTACCTGTGACGGACAAAGTGACTCCAGGTGAACCAGTATATTTCTCTCCTGGTTTGTTTGTCATCAATGTGAATTTGTACTCAGCTGAGTCGCTCTCTCTCACGTCTGTGATGGTCAGATAACAATCCTTACTAAAACATCTGTACTCCACACGGCCTGAATACTCAGAGTCTGTTCTCAGATCCACAGGTTCACCATCTTTCTCTTTAGTGAACCAGAATCTGTCCTTTATATCAGAGGGACGTATTCCAGGTGGGTGTGTGTAGCCACATCTTATAACCACTTCTGATCCTTTTGCAGCACAGACGTCAGTCTGATGGTAATTCACTCTCCATCCATCCTGACTCTGTATCACTGTAACACAGCACATCAGGAACCACAGTCACACTCAGAACAACATCACAGGACACACTCTCATTGGTAGTTTACTGAAGAGAAAAGATATGATGAGAAATATGAAAATCATTGAGTTTATAGAAAGTAATGAAAGAGTCCACGATGTCCACATGGACTCTGCAGCTGGAAGGAACAGCGACGTATTGAACCTGTGGACCTGAAAAAGCTCAAGTTGAAGTATTAGAAGGGTTTGGTTGATGAGAAGAAGAGTGTCTTTGCTCTGTGCTCTTCTGTCTGTGGTCAGTCTGCTGCAGAGTGGAGATGGAAACTGTAGAGAAATGCAGAACTCTGAGGGGAACGATACTGTGACATATAGATTAGTAGAATATGAACGGCACCTTTGGGGGGAAAGTGTGAAAATACAACTGTGTCTGTTCAGGCAATTTGGCCGCCATTTTGACACAATTGACATAGGCTTTTAGCTGCATTATTTAATCAAACAATGGACGACTATGGTAACCATGGTAACCACGGGGGCAGATGCATTTTCCGGTCGAAACCACATCGAATGCCCAGATACCTTTATTAACACACGTATGCTTAATTGAATCACCCCTCTGCACGCCAACGCCTTTGACCCTTGTATGATAACATGCAAAATAATAGGATGTGCCCTCACACACACACACACACACACACTCACACACACAAAAACAAGACACCGCCCATATTCGCTCAAGTTTTGACAAAATGGCGGCACGGAAACGCACATTTTCACACCTCCCCCCTAACGTGCCATTTATGTGCTGATTAGATCACACGTCACTGATAAGAAGTGTTTTAAGCCTCGACTGGCTTTCAAAAGTCAACAAAAAATAAGAAATAGAATTTTCCAAAACAATATCTATTTGTCTAAAACCACAGAATGTGACTTTTCAGCATCCGGCAGTGAATCAATTATCTGTGACACGGATCACAGCTACAAAATGTCCCTCAAAGAGACACTGAACAACCAGGAAGAGAATAAAAATGACCACAAATACACAATAAAATGCTCCAATAAGAAGAACAAACGTCGTCAGAGACTCGGAGTGAATAACAGCCTCTAAATGTGGTCTAATGCAAAGAAACGCTGCTGAACGATTAGAGGAAGTTCAACAGAGACAAATTACTCAGAGCATTTCTTCTTTGTTAATGTTCATTTAGTCATTATTTGTGTGTGATGACATCAGACCTGTGTGTGAAGTAAAAACACAGCTCCCTGTGTGTGTGTGAGGTGTGTAACGGCCTCACAATATAAATGTAGAAGTACAGTACCTTGTACAGAGAGAAGGAAGACGACTAATCCACCGGCTGATGGACTCATAGCTGCTCCTCTGTGTTCAATCAGCAGATCAGAAACTCTTTATTCAGTAAGTCACCAGAAACACGTCTACATTAAAGAGGAGGCTGATGTCTCTGAGGTCAGCTCGTCTCTTCCGGAGTTGGTAACAAGCTGCTGTTCAACACCCAGCAGAGCTTCCTTCCTCTTTCCGTCATTAGTATGCATGAGCTGCAGAACAAGAAGCTGCTTTAATGTTAACGTCTTACTTCTGCTAAAAGGAAACATCATAAAAGTGTTGTTAATATGTGAGGATCATCTTGATGAACCTGTAAGCAGCATAAACGTCTCTTCATTCTCTGTAATAATTCACATTAAGTGAAAGGCTGCAGTGTGACGTCCTCCTGTTAACATGTAGATAAATATGTCCTCTCTGCAGCTCTTCATACGTCTTCCTCACATTCACTGCAGGACACAAACAACACAAACAACGCTGTCAACTCACACAAATGTTGCTTTATTCATTTAATGTTGACACATTTCCATTACAATATGAAAGTGTCTGTTGAGGACAGTGTGTAGTGTTTAGTGACATCTAGTGGTGAGGTTGCAGACTGCAGCCACCTGCTCCTCCCTTTAAGTCCTTCAGGTAACGTGGAGATGAAAAAGGCTCCCAGTGAACATATGAAGCGCTCCTCTAAAGAAACTTCTTAGTGATGAAAACATGGTTATTGTTGGGAAGATTAAAACAAGCTTCAGACAGTTTGGGGGGCAGGTGCTCAAACCAAAAGAAAAGGGCAGAAGTGTCTTTCTGCTTTTGGAGTCTCTCTTCTCTTTGCATTAAGCTGCACATTCTGTGAATGAGATAAATTAATGTTGTGCACAATAATAAAAAGTTTGACGACACACACAAATATTTTTGTAAGTACAAGCCTGCATTTACACTAATAATACACCAGACTGTAGCCCAACTTAAGACTTACCTTTTTAATTTGTAGAACTGTAAAACTGCCCTTTAAATTCCTCTGGCCTGTCTGTTATTGTCATATCTGGACTAAGGCCTTTGAAATC